AAACAGCCGGAAGAGTAATGTCGCCACCTAACGGTCAAGACTGATGTCCCAGAGACCTATTTGAGGATATTTCTGATCCTCGATTATTTTTGAATTTTATTTCTGATGCTCTACAGTATCTCTTCCTTGGGTACAACACCCTTCTGCATCCATGAAAACAGCCAAAAAAAAGAAAAAAGAAAAAAAGAAGAAGAAGAAGAAATGGTTGCTGGTGTGGCGCACGGCAGGTCTGCGGTGCGGTGTGCTGCGCGACATGCGGAACCTGCCCGCACGCTGCCCTAGCTTTTTTTTTTTTTTTTTTTTTTTTTTTGCCATAGATGCAGAAGCGTGTACTTCCTAAGGAAGAGATCCTCTAGAGCATCAGAAACAACTCCAAATAAGTTTAAATAACATAGGCTCAGAAATTGCCTCAAATGGGTCTCTGGGACCTCAATTTTGACCGTTAGGTGGTGACATTACTCTCCTGGCTGTTTTTTTTTTTGTTTTTTTTTTTGTTTTTTTTTTGTCCATGCTTGTGTGCCGCCTGGGTCCCGTGCGCTCGTGTGCCGTACATGCGCAATTGCCCGCACGACGCACCGTACATGCGCAAGTGCCCGCACGACGTGCGCCATACATGCGCAATTGCCCGCGCGACGTGCGCCGTACATGCGCGCAATTGCCCGCACAACGTGGGCTTGCATTTATGTTTTTTTGACAGGCACATGTGTGGTGTATCACTCACCCACGGGGTGGATGAGAAAGAATGAGTAACGTCCTTGCAGACATGGTCCTTCATGAGGATTGAACTCATGTTCTGTGATTTACCAACAGTTACATGTGTGCTTGCCACTCACTCACAAGGTGGGCAGCGGGCCTGATTTTCCCAAGGGAAAAAAAAAAGTGCAGGTGGTGTCCTACCGAGCATGATCTTGCGTTTCGTCAAACGCAAATCCTGATTCTTATGAGAGCATAAGCCCTACATTACAGTAGAACTTTTCCTAGCTGTATCTGACTTCAATTGCAGCCACATGTGGACGTACCTGGCTGCAATTATGTCCAGAAACCAGTCGAAACTTGGTAGCTTGAGTGATGCCCTCCGGAACGTTCGACTGTGGTGGTGAGAATGACATGCTCAAGCTCGGCCTGCCTGCTTTCTTCCCCGGAACACAACATACAGTTGTCATATGACTGTACTTGGACGGAAAGATAGACTGCATGCATTTGTGATGAGGGTGCGTTATGTGAAGGGGAAGACAATGGTTCCTTTTCGGCTGGCAGATCGCAGAACAGGTTCATGCTTTAAAAGACAAAAAATTGAAAAAAAGAAAAGAAAAGACCAGTCTGGTCGTAGAATGGCTGATAAACAGGTCAAGAGTTCGAGTCCGGTTGCCGGGGGTCATTTGCCCGGCTGGGCCAAAAAACATTAAAAAAAAAAAATAAGAAAAAATTGAAAAATATATATAATAATATTTTATTTTAATTTTAAATTTGGTAAAGAATTTCGATGTGACCCTGAGGAAAAAGTTGTTCAGCTTATTTTTCTGCACAACAATGATAACATACTACATAGTTTTTTTCTCGGATTTTTTGGAGTTGGTTTTTTTTTTTTTTTTTTTGCTGGGAGCCTGGGACCTTCTCTGGTCCTTGCACGGGCTGGCCACCCGGGACCCGGGCGACCCGGCTGGTAGCCTAGAGAAAAAGGGGAAAAAAAAGAGAAAAAAAAAAAAGCAAGATGCTAATAGTTCTCCCCATTATGTCCCATCTTTTTAACCTGAAAGGCCTTCCACGATTCAGACCCCAAATTCGGATCTTAGGGTCGGATGCCCAGGTCAAGAAAAAGCCGAGTTTGTCAAACTCAGAAAAGTCACATTCGGGTACCTCAGCAGTCTGGTCCAACAGGCACCCAGCAAACAGTCACGTCTCAGGGACAAGAGTCACGTCTCATAATAAAAAGCAATTCAGAAGAGTCACCCATGAGTGAAAAGGCAGATTCACCAAGCAAAGGTCATGACTCAAAGGCAGGAGTCGCGTTTCCTAGTGAAAAGTCATATTGAAGAGTCACACCCCACGAGTAAAAGGTAGTTAGTATCACAGGCAAAAGTCGTGACCCACAGGCAGGAGCCACCGTCCACAGTCAAAAGTCGTGTTCACGAGTGAAAAGTCATGACGCAAAGGCCCAAGCAGCAGCAGTCCAATGGAAATTCGGGAAGGTTCCAGACCTTGACATTCAGAAGCAGACAGGCCGTGGGGATGTGGTACCGGAACCAGTCAGGACCCAAGAAACAGAGGCTGGCACGAGTTGAAGTGCAAACCAAGACTACAAAAGGACTGGCCAACGTCACATTTGGTCAGATTGCTCATTCGCAAGAAGTGTGGAAGCGCTGGTGCACTTGTGCGCTGAAGTGAGGAGCAGAGCGCTGAGGCCAGAGTGCTGCGCTAAGTGAGGAAGAGAGAGGAAGATAGCGCTGGCAGGGAGAAGGCAGCCATAGCTGCGCCAGTGCAGAAGTGCTAGTACTAGCAGTTAGCAGTAGACTTCAGAGGGATTAGTAGAGTTGTCAATGGGTGTATTCAGAGTAGATCTTTGAGTAAAAGTTAGTGTGAGTGTGCATGCATGTAGGGAGCGAAGATTCAGCGAGGTCATAAGCTAGGGAGAAGACCAGTAAGGAGGGGTGATACAACAGAGAGAGAAGAGCAGGGAGGAAGAAGATTCTTACCTGGGTGATCATGTTGGATGTTTGGTTACCTATGATATGCGCTGTTGTGTGCTGGTGACTCGGAACTCTTATTGCTCCTGTATAACTTGTTGGAATTCATAAGCTGCGTTATCTGGTCTTAATCTCTCTTGTCTTCAGTGTGAACTTCGTGTGACCTATGAAACACCCGCGGATGCGTCCGCGGGGTCAAGCTCGGAGGGCAGACGTGAACACGGCCGCCGTGGCTCCGGCCGCGGTTGGGTGCGGCCGCGACTTTCAGGAATTTTTTGTGACCTTAAAAATTTATCAAAAAAAAAAACAAAAAAAATGGGGTTGTAGATCTTTTCGAGATCTAAATTGCGCAATTTTTTATTTTATTTTTTGACTTCGTCTTCGAGTTTTAAAAATTCAAAAACTAATTTTCCTGAGGCAAAAGCTGTTTGTTTGTTTGTTTTTTCAAAAAAAAAACATGAAACGTATGTGATTTTTTATTTTAAATTCAGTAACGTTTTTGGATATGACCACAAGGCAAAAGTTGTTCGGTATATTTTTCTGCATAACATATTTGTTTTTCAGAATTTTTTGAATTCTTTTTTTTTTTTCTTTTTTTTTTTYTTTTTTTTTTTTCATGGCCGCGGACCGCGGACACGTCCGCGGGGTCGCGGCCTAGGCCGCGGCTGCGGACTTGTCCGCGGATGGCCGCAGCCGAGGGGAATTCATAGCGTGTGACCTCATATATGCATGAGGTGTGAATATGTGCGCTCATTGGTGTTGAACCAAGAGGTTCATTGCAAACCTGTTTAAGGGCCTTGCTCCACTACTCGCCAAAAGTGGAAAATGAGAACGAATCCTCGCTAGAAACATGGAAAGATACACCGCCATATTTTTGGTATTTTGTGCATGTGGTGAGTAGTGGAGCGATGCGCTTACTCTCTTTTCCATTGTCGTATCTCTTTTCTCCACGGGGTTGTTCTTTGCGTCTTATCCTTTGGTGCTGATGCAGGAGGAGGTGATTAAGCTGCTGAAGCCTCAACACTTTTTGCCAGTCCATGGAGAATTTGCCTTCCTGAAGGAGCATGAGAAGCTGGCCCAGTCCATCGGTGTGCGCCATACGACAGTAAGTATTTATGTCTACGTGTTATGTATCGTTTATGTACGTAATGTCACGATATGTATGCATGTCAACGTCTAAACCTCCATGCGCACGTGTGTTAGGGCAATATATTTCCTCCGCGATAGTGTCACTGGGCATGCTGCGTAACAGAGTATGCATGATCAGGACCCACAAACAACCGACCCCTCTTTACAGCACACATAACGAACCCCATAGCAGGAAGCATTCGAAGGCCAAGGTACACACAGTGCATGGACCATTGAGCTAAGTGCACTGGGGGACTAAGTTGTATGCGTATTCCAGAATTCAAATCGACAAGGCACACTATTTAGTATTTTCCCAGCGGCCCATGCTTGGAAAGACTCACAAAAAAAAAAAAAAAAAAACAAAAAAAAAACCAAGAGAGAGAAGAAGGAGAAGAAGAAAGGCTTGAACTCTCAACCCCCAAATCCGTAGTTTCGTGGTCTATCCAATCGACGAGCTACAAGCACATTCATTCTGATGTCCCTTTCGTCGAGGGGTACACTGCATCTCTTTTTCATGGCGAAGACGAGGGTTCAAATCCCCGAAGGGATCAGGGATACTGTCGTTTTGTGAGAGGAAAGAAAGCAAGGAAGACACAGCAAGGGGAAAAGCAGCAAGAGAACTGGCAAAGCTAAGCTGAGCTAAACCCATGATGTAAGCATCGGAAGAAGATATAAGGCGGCAAGGCAAAAGGCAGTCAAGCAAAAGGCAGGAAGGCAAAAGACGGTAAGGCAAAGGCGGCAAGGCGAGAAAGCGGTGAACGATGAGCAGCTGACATGGCATATAGGGCAGGAGGAGGGTGTAAAGGAGGCGACGGGTGGGGAGACAAACATCACCGAGCACTTAGAGAAGAAGTCACAAAGTACACAAGCCAAAATGAAAAACACCAACGACACAAAATAATAAGAGCAGGGTTGCATACCCGCTGACCGCCGACCATTTTCCAGCCTACCAATAGGGCCGACCGGACGGCGGTCTGCCGACCAGTCTGTAGAGGGCC